CTTGTGCATAGATCCAGCTCTGGCTGTGCTTCATGTGCCCTAGTTTTGAGTCAAGCGCCAACGGTGGGGGCTGTATTCCCCATTTATCTAACTGTAACATGGGGCGTCCCTGACCTGGATGGGCCAGGCTAGCTTGATGTCAGATCTCAGAAGCTTTCTTTAAGTATTTGAAGGGCTGTCACTTAGAGGAAGGCAGGGAGCTGTTCCTGTTGGCAGCAGAGGATAGGACTTGCAATAACGGGTTTAAATTAAGGGTGGAGAGGTGCCGGCTGGATACTAGGAAAAACTTTTTTACAGTAAGAGTTGTGCAACAGTGGAATCGGCTGCCTAGGGAGGTGGTGAGCTCCCCCTCACTGGCAGCCTTTAAGCAGCGGCTGGACAAACCCTCGTCAGAGATGCTCTATGCTGATCCTGCACTGAGCAGGGAGTTGGACTAGATAGCCTGTATGGCCTCTCTCGGAGTCGTGGGGGGAGGGTGTCGCTCTCCAGGCCTTCCCTCTGTAGCCACGCATGCAGAGGTTTTGGCTGTAGTGGGCGTGGCCAACTCTGAAGCCAGCCAGAACTCCGTTCCTGTGCGTTCCTGCCCAAAAATAGCCCTGGATGGGAGACCTCCAGGAAGTCCGGGGTCACTACACAGAGGCAGGCAATGGCAAGCTACCTTTGAATGTCTCTTGCCTTGAAAACCCAGGTGGGCGCCATAAGTTGGCTGTCACGATGGGACCTTCCATCATCACCAACACGGTGGGTGGGTACCTGCATTTTGAGGGCTGCTTGGCAAGTGCACATTTCCTTGTGTCCTCTGTACAGGAGGCCACCTGCTTTGCCAAAGCTGCTAAACCATTCAGCACAGATACCCTTAACTGCAGGGGGTGCAACTCTGGGGATACAGGTGTCAAGAGCTCCACCCACTCATCTTTTCTTGGAAGAAGGATGAAAAAAGTGTGGGTGCCCTATCTTGGAACACTGGTACCATAGTAACCTAAGAAGAATGCCGCTGAATCAGGCCAGTAGTCCATCTAGTCTAGCACCCTCTTTCACACAGCAGCCAACTAGTTGCCCTGGAGGCAACTCATCATCTCCCTTGCTTGCCTTTGTGGAGTCGAAGCTCATATAAGCTGGGGTTTGTGTCTGGAGGTCTGAAACAGGATACCTGTAACAGTTCTGGGAAGGAAAGTGTTATTTATCCACCCTTCGTTTATGTTTCTTCTCCCTGATTGCTGAGTCTTTGAAATTTGTGCAAAGTGTACTTTTAGAGCAAAGGGCCCCATCACCAATTTTTCAACAGATTTAGTGGGAATGCCATACTACACACCCCAGTACATGTGACCTATGCTCAATGGCTAGGGCTTATGTGCTCCTCATAATGATCTGTGATTGACTCCAGAGTTAGACCAAAGTCCAACTCTCCGTAGTAATTGGAGTGTGTGTGTAGGGGGAGGAGGGGAAGAACAGTCATTCTACTTGACTTCTATGGGAGTATTTTAACTTCTCTCTTCTGCGAGACAGGACTGAATCTTGCATCAAAATAGAATTCCAACCCACTTCTTTCTTGCCATGTCCCAAAGGCTTCTGCCAACAATAAGGTACCAAAGTTTAGTGCAGGGATAGACAACGGAATAGTGGCATGAGGATCATTTGATGGTCACACTGTGCCAGTTCTCTGCCCAAGCACTCTCCAGGTGCTGGCCACACCTCTGTGCCCACAGCATGGGACAACAAGCATGGCTTATGCCTGTTACAGCCTCCCGGACCCATGCAGCTGCTAGTTGCGTCTTAAGTGTATCCCTGACGTGTCCTGGCAATGCCACTGGAAACTATCTTCCTCCCTCTGTGTTTGGCCAAGAGGTCTGTTTGTTCCCTTTTTGTTTGCTGGCATACAACATCTTCACAAGCAGGTGTTGCTGAACTTGGCATTCTGGTCTAGGAATCATTTTGAATTTTTCATCCCTGCTGGTTCAGCCCCCAAAATTCCTTCCTTCCTTCCTACACTTCTGGAATCCAGCAACCTTTCCTTCTTTGCAACCAGCACAAGCCTTCCTTCCTTCCTTCCTTCCTTCCTTCCTTCCTTCCTTCCTTCCTTCCTCATTTATAGTACTCCTTTCTCACTTGGACTCAAAGCAGATTACATATAAATAATGCACTTTCAATCCACTTTCAATGCACTTTGCAACTGGATTTTACTATGTGAAATGGCAAAATTCACTTGCAAATGGTCGCTGAAGTCAGTGCCGGATTTACGCATAGCTAAATAAGCTACAGCTTAGGGCCTCGCAATCTGCTGGAGCCTTGTCATTTTAAAACCCTTTAATTATGTAATTATTTCTGTGATTTTGTAAACACATCCTTTATTGTTTTTTAAATAAAAATTAAAATACAATATATTTTTAAATATTAAAAAGGTGTATATATTTTAAATTTTTCTGAGACCAGCTGATGTAATTTAAAACAGTAGGGGGCCTCTGGGTTTTGTATAGCTTAGGGCCTCAGCAAGTCTAAATCCGGCCCTGGCTGAAGTGGATTGAAACTGTGTTATTTAGCATGCATGAAAACGCCCTATAGAATGAGTCAATACAATCAATAGTGTGGGACATTCAATAAACAATACGATCAGATGACGGTTGTAGAACCAATCAGAAATCCAAAAACAACTGAAGCAAGAATACGTATTAACACAACAAATTAAATGATGCAAAAATTACATAGTAGGATCCTGGTTTCAGCAAGCTAAACACAGTAATATACAGACCACAGTCCCTAATAATTTATCCAAGTAACTTTGTGAAAGTAGAGTGCAACTCTATTGCCTGTGGAGAAAACCTTTCTTGAATCATTCAGTTTTGCACAGTTTGTAGAAAGCCAGGAGAGGGGGAGCCTTCCTGACCACCTCAGGCAGGCCATTCCACAAGATGGGGGCCACAACAGAGAAGGCCATTTTGCCTGTTTGCAGGTTGGTACCTGCAGAAGACCTTGCTCAGATGAGTGGAGCATAACATGGAGGGGGTGTTGTTTTGTCACCAGAAAGAAGGAGGAGGAAGAAGAGGAGGAGGAGTTTGGATTTCTACCCCATCCTTCACTCGGAGTCTTAGAGTGGCTCACAATCTCCTTCCCTTCCTCTCCCCACAGCAGACACCCTGTGAGGTAGGTGGGGCTGAGAGAACTCTGACAGAAACTGCTCTTGAGATAACAGCTCTGAGAGAGGTATGACTGACCCAACGTCACCCAGCTGGCTGCACGTGGAGAAGTGAGAAATCAAACCTGGTTCTTCAGATTAGAGTCCACCACTCTTAACCACTACACGAAAGTGGTTTGTGGGAATGAGAGAACACCAAGGAAGTCCTGGGTTTGAAAAGCAGAGGCAGGCAATGGCAAACCACCTCTGCTCATCTGTTGCCATAAAAAAAACCTATGGGGTCGCCATAAGTCGGCTGCGACTTGGTGGCACTTTACACACACACACACACACAAATGCCACCCCACTCCCATGGCTATTTGCTCTGCTGGGGGAAATGTATGAGTAAATACCTCTAAGCTTTCTCTAGCACTTCAATAGAGTAGTGAGAGG